ATGGAACAAATTAATTTTAAGGCGAGCATATATTGGAGGTCATGGCGAGCAAGGCGAGTAAGGCGAGAGGATCTGTTGGGAAAGACTGCGTTACGATTATCATCTTCAACATTCCAACGTTTCTTCATCATCAAGGCCTTTGGCTAATTTTTGATAAATATGGTGAGGTGGTTGATTTTTTTCATCCCTAATAAAGAACAAGGGATGAAACAGGTTTGGTTTTGTTCACTTCACCAGATTGGAGGATGCGAGGAAGGCTATTTTTTGTACTGATAGATCTAGGATTTAAGGCAACAAAGTTAGAGTTTTTATGGCAAGATTCCAACCTCGTGAAGCTTTCTGGAGAAAGAAGTGTTCTGTTCCAAACCAGTTGTGGTCAAGAGTAGAGTGGAGGATGTTAATCTTATTGAGGATCCCATTGTCGGTGTTATTGATGAGGACAAGTTATTTACTCTTAAGATAGTTTGGTTGGTTGGTGCAGGAAATTTATCAAATTGAAGGAGTTGGCTTCTATCATGCAAAAAGAAGGCATATTGCGTCAGAGAATTATGAGATTAAGCGGATTAGCAATTTTAATCATATTTGAAGATGAAGAGAGTATGAATTTTACTCTAAATAATCAGATTGAGGCGCTGCAAACCTGTTTTGACAAAGTGAAAGTGTGTCGAAAAATGTTCGGTGCAGCAGTCGATGGGCATGGTTATCGTGTAAAGGGATCCCACCGTTTGTGTGGAGTCCTTCAACCCTCAGAAATAGTAGAAAAATGGGGCGAGCTCATTTCCATAGAGGAATGAACTTTAAATCCTGGCTCATTTGATAGGGATTTGTTTCAGGTTATTACGAACCATCAAGCCCGAATCTGTTTGGGAAGATTCGTTGTTGTTGGAAGAGGCAGTTTCTAACTTGATTTCTACGGTGGGTGAGATTGACGGTGTCACGCCAGTTAAGCCTCCCGAGCTGGAGATATGTGCCGAATTGACTTCCCATGTAAATAATGATTCCATTCTATGGAGGATGTTCAAATAGAAAATCAAGAGCTCAAAGATGGCTTGAATGCTGGTGATGGTTTGTGGCGTTCAGTTGTTGTGAAAGCAACTGTAGGTTCTCTTTTCGAAGAGGAATGGGCTAAGGAATCAGATTCCCAGGCACTCGTAATGGGGCGGCTGCGCATGTTGAATTGTGCCAGACAAGTGGCATTTCTATTGCGGTGGAGGAAGCTTTTTTGACGAACGTGGATCCTTTAGTGGATTTAAGTGCTGGTATAGAGGGTGATAATTTAGAGCTGGAGTTGTCGTATAATGTAGTGCGCATGAATAAGGTGGCACATTCCTTTTCTTGTCAGAGGAACATCAATACAAACTTGGTGGAGGTATTTAATAATACGCATGTGGGTTCAGTAGTGGCATTGGATGCTGCTCACGAGGTAAATGCTTTCGATGGTCCTTTTACGCCTTTGGATAGGTCGTTAAACAAGGGCAATACAAACGTGGTGGAGGAATTTAATAATACGCATGTGGGTTCAGTAGTGGCATTGGACGCTGCTCACGAGGTAAATGCTTTCGAGGGTCCTTTTACGCCTCTGGATAAGTCATTAAACAAGGGTATTGTCGTTGGCCCGAATGTAGAGTTAGTTTCTTTCCGAAAGCCATGAGGGGACTTTTCTAAGTCTCATGTTGGGTGTGATTCTGAGGAGATTTGGTATTGTCGTATCGGTCATTTACCAAAAATTTGAAGTTGAAGAAATTTGGATCAATGTTTGACATTCAGGGCAAAGTCCTATCTAAAGCTGAGAGAAGAAGAAGATCGAGCGCTGAAGAAATTCAATTTGAATAAATCAGATCTATTATTATCTGAATTATCAGGTACATTTATTTCATATTCTGTTTTAAAGCAATGTGGGCTGAAGTTTTTGTTGAAGTGCAGGAGGCAATGTCTGTAGGTAGGCAACTTGGACTTATGGTTGGTAGTCCTGAATTTATGGTTCTTTAGAAGCTTTTGTCGTTAGTTACGCGTTGACGCTATTTAGAGTATTGTTGGGGTTGTTTAGGTGATTGATTTCGGTCTTTGAGAGCAACTTAGTTTATGTTTTTTGTTCGATTGGCTAAGGGGGTTCGGATCGATTGTTGTTCGTTCTGGAGCTGTTGGAATTATAGATTGGAGTTTTGGTCGATCTATTCGTGGCCTGTGTAGCTCCATAGATTTCCAGGATTTAGTTAGAAGTTCGAGGTCGTTCTATTATTAAGTTGTTATTGTTGGTTTATGCTTTGGTGCCTCTCCGTAGGAGGTTTTGTGGTAAGTTGTATTGCTACTCTTCATTATGTTTCTTCTCGGTTGGTTTTTGCCTCTGTTTGTAGCTGTTTACATAACATCAAGTTAGATGTGTCTTTGTAGTTTCCTGTATCTCAGGTAGTGTTTGTTTTCTCAGGAGCTAGTTTCTGGCTTTCTATTCTTTCCACCTCATGGTTCACTCTTTTTCCTCCAAATAGGTTTAGGGATTTTTTAATGAGGTTAATGGGGTGGTGTACTTTGTATCCTTATCAATACAAAGTACTCATCTTTCAAAAAAAAGGCGAGCATATATTAAAAAAGATATATCTAAAAAATTAAATTTAAAGTTCATATATACATATGCCATTGTTTACGAGCACATGATTTTGAAAGAATAAAATATGAAAAATTTAGGGAAGTCTAAGAAAAGGCAACCAAATTTAAGGCTGAAGAGAGACGACCGAAAATGTTATAAAAATTATACTATTTTCAGTTGATGCAACTTATAATGTTAACTTTTTCTGACATTTTTTTGGTTGAAAACTTTATTTATGACATTTTTGGTTACCAACCAAAAATATACTTTATGCTTAACGTTTTAGGTTCAATTGATGTTAAAAAGTCAACATTCTAGGTTACACCTAATCAAAATATAATAATTTATATAACATACGGTCGCATCTATTTTATGTCATTTTTTAATCTTAAATTAAACCGCCGTATATCATTCTAGAGATCGTTTCATTTGCATGAATTGAAACAGGACAAGTGAGCAAGTGAAGAGTGCCAATGTGTGCAGGGTTACTCCTTTGGACTCAGTCGAATGATTTTTGGGCTTCAACCCCACTTATTATACTAACAGTATGGAACTGGTTGAACCCTCATTTTCAAGCTTAAGCCCATAGGATAAATTATATAAACATAAAGGTCAAAATATGCTTTGGTTTTTTATTCAGTTCTTTTACAATTATATTATGCTTGAATATGGACTTGGCGAACGAGCTCTCCCCGCGGGACAGGAAGTGGGACGGGAAAATAACCATTTCGGTGGTTGATAGTAGAGCAAAGGTTGGATAAACATGAATATGCTTGTCTTACCATACAATTATATTAACATCGTTGGGAAGAAGGAAAATTATTCTCTTTTGTGCTACTTATTAGATACAATACCAAACACCAATGTGGCTGATTATGATTCATTCAATGATATTCCTAAATCCCATGCGTCTGGTTTAGGATAATTTTATATAAAGAGTGAGTTATTGATTCCTTGGCAACTTCTTCAGTGCGCCGACACACCCCGTAAATAAGCACAAATGATTAACAACGGGATTTTTGTTTTCCCTTTTGACTTTGGGGTCTAATCTGAGTAATTATTTACTTATGCTTCCCCCTATAATTCTGCTGTCAACGTCAACAAGTTTAGCCAGTGATTTGAGAATAAAAGCTATCTTTAGAATATGGGAATTGATAGCCTTTCTTTTAACATAATTTATGAAATTCTAGATTTTATCAGTAATGTAAGAGAAATAATCCGTAATATTTGTATTGTGGAGAAGAGATTATATTGACGAATAGGAGACATAGACAAGGTTCATGAAAGCTATTGATGGTGGGAAAAAAGTAACCAAAATAATGATAATTGTCGTAACCGGTTTTTGTCCGGGCACGAAAAATTTATTTGGCGGGAAAATTGATGTGAATAAATGGTTTTGAAAATAATTTGAGAGTCGTCATCGGCCTTTTGGGTCAGGTAGGTCGAACCTAAAAATTATTTTTTAAAAGAGTTTTAAAAAAACATCAATTAAAAATGATCTGATCTGCGTTTATAACCAAAATTCGTTCTTTTAATATAAAAAGGGATTCGTGTCGGTTACGTTTAGGGAAGGATTAGCACCCCTACAACGCCCAAAATTGGTACTTTTAATTATAAATTGTCTCTATCATTAAAAATTTAAAAATTCAAAATATATTTAATTCATATTATGTTATTTTAAATAATTTAGAGAAAATATGTTAATATGTATAATTATTTATTTATTTAGAAATATCAGAAAAGGGCTTCTAGGTGCTTTAAGACAGCTCTTTCTTCGATATTAATAAATAAATAACTAAAAACATTTTTTTAAAATAATTAATTTATAATTTATAAAAAAACAAGATAATTATTTATTTAAGAATATCAAAAAGAACTTCTAGTGTTTTAAGACAGTTCTTTTCTTCGATATTAATAAATAAATATTAAAATATAATAATTTTTCATAAAATGATTTAGATAAATTATAATTTTATAATATTTAATATAAATATTTATAATTAAGATAATAATAAAAATAATTAAAGCCATAATTAAATATAAAAAGTGACAACAAAATATTGTAATTAATAATGATCAAAATAAAAGAAATTAAATATAAAACTAAATATAAAGTATCAAAAATAAAGATAATAATTTGAAATATTATGAAAGATAATGGTTAATAGTGTAATTTAACCTAATTAATTAATACGAGATTAAAATAAAATACTAAACTATAAGGGACTAAATTTGATATTTTACCTAAATATATATTTAATACTGGTAAGGACTAAAATGGGTATTTACCCTAAATATTAAGCAGGCAAGGATTAAATTATAATTAAATAAAATTATAAAACCGAATTGAAATGATTAAAAATCAATTTCAGTGACTAAATTGCAAAGTTATAAATATAGAGGTTGCGGAAAGGGTTTACCTTTGAGGGTAATTACAGAATACCCTCTCCAAAACGACGTCGTTTGTACTCATCTGCCTCCTCAGCAAATTCCGGTTGTAAGCTGCCGCATTCTGGACGGTAGCTTCGACCTCATTAGGGTCCCCTTTCGAAGGCCATCCCGTCTCCGAAACCCTCACCTCGATGCCACCGTAACCCAACCTAGACATGGCGGCAACGACAGCGTCTACCATCGCGTATAACATGTTGTCATAGTGAAGCTTGGTGTAAGGGTCGACCATTCCTGGGTTCTTGTTGAAAAGAGCATAGTCCAACGAGATCTTGTTCGGGGAATCCTTGTAAGCAAAATATGGGTAGGCATTGATCCAAAATGGGGAGCCGGTGCTCGACAAGAAGTGCAAAAACTGTGACATGACACTCGAGACCTCACCCTTGAAACTACCAGCCGAAGGAGGGTAAGATTCCTCCAGAACCGCTAATGAATTGGGCGTCGAAACCTGAATGTACTTATCTAAGCCTAATTGAACTAAAGCACCGTGGATACTGACTGTGGCGGGGACAAGATATCCTAGTAGTGACGTGTCGTCGTCGGTAAAGATCTCATTTCCCACGGCGATCCCGGTGATCTTGGTGAGTGGAAAATAAGGCTTGATATGGGTACTAACCCATTCAAGTGCTTGCTGGGGATCCACTACGACAGGTAACATTTGGTTTTCAACTGTAACGATAAGTCCAACGTTGGAGTTGGCAAATGTTGTTAAAATCTGAGGATTGGTGTCGTAGATTCTTGCTTTTGTGAGCTTAAGGGAGCTCAAGAGATCAAGAACCTTGTCGGGCGGAGGCAAATTGTCGCCCACTTGGCCATAATTGATGCCTGTAGAACTAACTCCCTCTATAAAGCCATAATCTGTAAAGTAATTACAAAGAAATAGTTAAAACTCACTCGACAAAGAAATTACTAATGATATGCGAATGGAACATTGGAAGAAAAAAATAAAAAGTACCTGAAAAACAGAGAGAAAATAGCAGGAAAACATGGATCATTATGTCAATTATTCTTAAAAAAAAATACTTCGTAATGAAGAGAGAAAGAAGAGTGTAAGATATAGGGAATCGAATAGAGGAAGTGAATTCTTTTCTTTGCTTGTTTGAAATTAATTTGGAGGGCAGTTGTCTCAAGGGGCTTGTAGCTTTGCCTTGTCCGTGTTGCCTTTGGGTTTTTAAACCCACTTGGGTTCTTCGAGTACTCCATGTCTTGCTTTTGGGACACACGTCAGCTTCTCCCAATTCCTTATCGGGTGTATTATGACACAACTGCCCCCGCCCGCTTTCTTCTGACAAAAGGAAAGCTAAGAAATCCAACCATTGGTTTAATGCGGTATTACACTTTTTCTTAAAATTATTATATTTTTTTAATAACATTTCCATTTATTAAAGTACGAATGAAATGATCTATTGTCACATATTTAATTAGCAAAATTTTACATGTTGAGGTAAGGCATGGCCTATAGGTTCAATTTTTCTTATTTTTAAGAAGAGAAATTTATAGTTATGAAGGGAATTGTTAAACTTATAATATGAGAGAAATGGAAAATTATTTTTGTTTCAATGCATATAAGTTTACAATCTGTACATATATATACATAATTATTCAATCCAACCACCTAACTAACTCAAAACCGTTTCTAACTAATTAATAACAGAAAAAACTAATTACAAACTCAACACTCCCCCTCAAGTTGGATGTTGAAAAAAAAACATTTTCAACTCCTAACTTGGATAGCAGATAACTATGTTGTTGATTTCCCAAAGCCTTTGCCATGATGTCTGTAAGCTTCATGTGTGGAAACAGTTTTGTCTGAATTAAACCTTCTTGTATTTTTTTCTCTCATGAATGATAGTCGATTTCAATATGCTTTGTCATTTCATGATACACAGGGTTAGCAGCTATTTGAATTGTGGCTTTGTTATCACAGTAAAGTTTAAAGGTTTCAAGCCTTTTATACTAAATTCTGCAAGTAAACCTTGCAGCCATACCAGCTGCCATAGCTCTATATTCTGCTTCTGCCGAAGATCTAGCCACAACATTTTGTTTCTTTGATTTCCATGAAACCAGTGAGTCTCCAATTTTGATACAGAAACCCGTCACATATTTTCTTGACATTGGGCATGATCCCCAATCTGAATCACAATAGGCTAAAATTTGATGGCCTGAAGAAGATTTTAATAAAAACTCCATGTCCTGGTTTTTCCTTAACATACTTATTACTCTTAAGGCTGCCTCCATGTGTGATCTCTTAGGTTGCTGCATAAATTGACTAAGAAGGTTTACTACATATGTAATGTCAGGTCTAGTATATGTCAAGTAAATAAGCTTTCCAATAAGTCTTTGATAAACTGACTTTTCAACCTGCTTGTGTTCATCTTCATTATTATGCTGCACAATTCTATCATAATCCATAGTAGTCAGCTTCAGATTATGCTCTAGAGGAGTAATAACAGACTTTGCTTTCTCCAAACCAGTATCTTTGATTAATTAGAGTACATACTTCCTTTGATTTAAAAGTATACATTCCTTTGACCTCAATACCTCGATTCCCAAAGAATATTTTAGCTCCCCCAAATACTTCATCTTAAAATGGCTATTCAACATTTGTTTTAATTCAACAATCAACTCATTACTATCACCTGTGATTACCAAATCATCAACATAGACCAACAACAAGGCCATTTTACCTTGTTGTTTCTTGATGAACAATGAGTAGTCATATTTACTTTGAATATAGCCAGCCGAAACCAATGCTTCTGTTAATTTCAGATTCCACTACCTGGAGGCTTGCTTAAGACCATGTAATGATTTTTGCAGTCTACACACAATTTTCTTCCCCTGACTGCAAAAACCTTCTGGAAGTTGTATATAGACTTCCTCAGAGAGATCCCCTTGCAAAAAGGCATTAAATACATCCATTTGCAACAGTGGCCATTGGAAGATAGAAGCAAGTGCTAAAATGGTTCGAATGGTAACCATTTTGACCACAGGAGAAAAAGTGTCAACAAAATCAATTCCCTTCTGTTGATTATAACCTTTAGCAACCAAGCGAGCTTTATATCTCTCAACCTCATCTGATGCTTTGTACTTAACTCTATAAACTCACTTACATCCAATATGAACTTTTCCTGGTGGTAATGGAACAAGGGACCAAGTTCTATTAGACTCCAATGTATGGATTTCCTCTTTTATTGCTTGAACCCAAAGTGGATTTTGAACAGCCTCAGAATAAGATTGATGCTCAGAAATTTGAGAAATGGAAGACAAGAGTACTTGAGTATGAATTGGTAAGTGAGAATAAAAAAGTTCACTGAAATTTGAGGAAGAAGACTGACAAGTGCAAACAAAATTGTTTAACCAAGTAGGAGGTTTAGAAACTCTAGAGGACTTCCTAGAAGGGACAAGTGCACTTATTGAAGCAGAAGACTGATCTGGAATTTGAGAAGTGTGTTCATTATTAACAGTACCCAACTCAGTAGGATTACTATAAAGGGAGCTAGAATGTGGAGAAGTTGGAGTATTTAGAAGCAAGAAATCATCATCAGAAACAAAGGTAGTAGATGGGAACAAAACATGATCAGAACTATAAAAGGAAGAAGGTTGATGAAAAAGAAAGTGATTTTCATGAAACTTAACATCCCTACTAATGAATAATTTTTTAGAGTCAAGGTTAAACAGCAAGTAACCCTTTTGGGTTGGAGAGTATCCCAAAACACATAAGCAAAAGCTCTAGCATCAAACTTATTATGAGGAGTAAGATTTGTGGCAAAATAGAGGCACCCAAATACCCTAAAATGGTCACAAGAAGGAGGTTTATTGTATAATAGTTCAAAAGGAGTTTTCCAAGATAAGACTGAAGAGAGAAACCTATTGATAATATAACAGACAACTAACACATATTCTCCCCAAAACTTAAAAGAAACTCTAGACTGAAACCAAAGAGCCCGAGCAACTTCTAAAAGATGCCTATGTTTACGTTTTGCAACCCCATTCTGTTGAGGAATACGTACACAAGAACTCGGATGAATAATTCCCAAGGACTCAAACAAGGGATAACATTCAGAATTAAAGAATTCACGACCATTATCACTACGAACAATTTTAACTGAAACAGAAAATTGATTCTGAACCATTAATATAAAGGTTCGAAGATAAGAAACATAATCATTCTTAAGCTTCAATAAGTACACCCAAGACATCCTAGTGTAGTCATCTACAATAGTCAAGAAAAAACGTTGACCAGCATGAGTGGAAATTCGATAAGGCCCCCACAAATCAATGTGAATTAATGTGAAGGGAGTAGTGGTCCTAGAATTGCTAATTGGAAATGGAAGCCTAGACTTTCGAGCTAAAGGATAGATAGAACACTTTTGAACACATTCCTGATGCAAATTTTCATTATGAAACATAGGTAATTTTTTTAATTGAGAAGCTGGAACATGTCCTAAACGAGCATGCCTAAGATTTGTTTTATTTGCATCAACAAATTTACAAGTATTTAGAAAAATATCAGAACTAACTAAAGGTTTACATGCATCAGCAGAAATAGAAAAAATAGAATTGGGAAGGAACCTGAGCATGTAAAGACCTCTAAATTCTTTACCAATCACTCTCATCATGCCATTGTAAAGATCCTGCAATATGCAAATATTAGGATACAAAAAACAACACATTTCAACTCATGAGCCAATTTTGAAACAAAATGAGATTGTGAGTAAAGTGAGGCACGTGAAGTACATTAAACAGTTGAAGACCATTAGGAAATCTAACATAACCTATATGTGTGACAACAAGGGATTTTCCATTAGGCAGTTGAACATATTTAACTGTGGATGTACAGGGCACAGGATCAATCATGCAGTTAAAGTCTGATAAAATATGGTCAGTTTCTCCAGAATCCAGAATCCATTCAATTGAATCATAAGCAAGAGAACAGAAAGTACCTGCCAAATTCACAGAGGAATTTGGACTAGAACTCTGAGCTGAAGCCTGATTCAGAATCCCCAAAAGCTGTTGATATTGTTCAGTGGTGAAGACTGGTGGTACTGGATTAATCACCTCACGATCAGAGTGAGCCACCATGGCAGCTTGGGAACCCTTCTTCTTGTTAAACTTGAAGTCAGGTGGAAAGCCAATAAGACGATAACAATTCTCCTTTTTATGGCCCTTCACCTTGCAGTGATCACAGGTTCCATTGAACCTTCGATGGTTGCTAGGAGCATTGGAGTTGCCAGAAGTATTGGAATACAATTTTGTAGTTTCCAGGAGAGGAACAACGCCAGATAGCTGAAGGCGATGGGCTTCTTCTTGACTTATCATCGAGTAGGCATTGTTGACTGAAGGTAAGGGTTTCATCAACAACAATTGGCTTCAAATAGCAGTATATGAATCGTTCAGCCCCATCAAGAATTGGAATAACCTCTGTTGAGCAACATGCCTTAAATTTGACTAAGCACTTGCACAAGTACAGTTCAAAGGAGGTACGAGTGCATCATACTCGTCCCACAAAAGCTTCAGCCGTGAGAAATACGCAGAAATGGAAAGCTCACCTTGGACCATCGTTACAATCTCACGATGAAGGAAAAAGATTCGGGAACCGTCGACCTTGTCAAATCGTTATTTGAGATCTGCCTAAACGAACGCGGCGCTTGAAGCGAAGACGATTCCAACAGACAACTCCTTGCTCACGGAATTGAGGATCCATGAAATTACAAGAGCGGTGCATCTATCCCATTGTGCTTGAAGAGGGGGATAAAAATCGTCGCGGCAACAAATTCCATCGACGATCCCTAATTTGTTTTTGGTGAGGAGCGCGATTCGCATCGATCGACTCCAGATGGTGTAGTTGTCTGGCCCAGACAGTTGATGCGAGATCAAGATTGTGCCCGGAGTATCCGAAGGGTGGAGATACAGTGGATGGTTGAAATCAACAAGCGTTGATTCTGTCATTGGAACCGTCGTTGAAGGCATCCTGAAAACGACGAAGCTGTGGAAATGTGAAGGCGGCGAT